TCTGCTGCTATCTTCTGTTAATGTAACTGACGAAAAAGCCGCGATGGATATCAAAACGTCAGGCGAATAAAAGTGTCGTCCCGGCGATTGAATATTCTTCTTCTTCTGCTCAATTATTTCCTGGGGCTCGTATGTCCGCTTGTATTGGCAATGTTTTTTCTTGTCATAGAACTAGATTTTTCCAGCCCTGACCTATCCTACTTTTGTCATGCACTCATTGGTTCTATGCAGCTAACACGACCGACAGCCGCTAGAAAGCACCAACGAGGCCAGTGGAATAGAAATAAACAACTTGCTTGCGTAGCATTACCCTTGCTAACCGTAAACGAGGGAGCCGCGACTAAGTTCTCAATCCCCCTAACAATCTAATTGGCTGGATACCTTGTTTTGTGTGTAATGCGTTGTATGTCCAAGAACCCACTTTAATTAAGCATCTCTATCTCATGAAAAATACTAGTGTGTTCCTTTCATTATCCCTGGCCAGCAAAGGGGGTGAAAACACTCATGAGACACAAAAATGACTTGACACAGCTCATGAAGATGCCTGTGAGGGCACGAGCAATTCAAACAGCCACAGAAATCGATCGGTGCAATCGATTGACACATGGGCATTAGGCAAGGCTAGTGGTCGGACACATTCATCTGACGCGAACAGGAGTACAGACACCACGCTCTGACGATAGAAGCAAGCACACTTTTGAAACGTCAGCCAAAGTACACCTTGGTCCCAGAAATCGTCTCTTCTTCTTCTGCCTCTTCCGGGGATGTGGAAGGGAATATTTTATCTGGACCTCGAATTTTCGTGCATATTAATACTAGTGTGTTCACTGTTCCAAAATGTCTATTCATGGACAAGTTTTATTTTAACTTTAGTTGGCCTGACATGCTCTCTATTTATTTTGCGGTGGGTATGGTGGGCAGAATGCTATTAACAACAAAGATCAAGGAAACTGGTATGGCCATTCCTGACTTATAAGCCTTCATCAGCCAGTCATGCTCAAACTCAGATATTGCGGCACCCGAGACTCAAACCCGAGAACTGTTTGCTAGACGTGTGACACACTAATTACTGAACTTCGACTGGCGCAGCACCTTGGGTTGAGTATGGCCGGCTGCTGACGTTTACTTAGTCAGAAATGGCCATTCCAGTCTCCCTGGTCATTGTTAGTAATACCGTAGTCGCCGGTTATTAAGCCCACCTCGGGCCCAGACTTAATTGGGCTTAATAGGCGGCTGGGCTTATTAACTGTGGGCTTAATAGCCGGCGACTACTGTACCATTCTGTCCATACTATTAGCCGCTATGCGAGTGCCGGCTGGGCTCGAGAATGAGCCCCACTACAGAACGGGACAAGTAACTCCTATAACCGATGAGTGAAGGCTTACCAACTAAATTTAGCATTTTTCGGGAGTAGAGCTAAGCATATGTATATAAATCGACAGATTGTCTTTGTAGACGATGAGAGAAAACTAGGCCCACACTCCTTCTCTGCCCCTTAATGTGACGCTAACAACCAGTAAGTTTTTTTTTCGAGCAAATGATGTTGCGCCTCATGAATTAGTTGTTTACAGTTGACAAACTCTTTGCGGTTATTGTTTGCTTTAAAATGCTGTCGGGTAGCTTGAAAGAAAAAACATACAGTATAGTGCAAAGTGTCCTGTTAAGTTGATGCACTCAGACCCATTTGCTAAAAGGACGGACACACAGCACTCTAAATGGTTTGAAAAAAGGCCCGAACCTAGTTTATGTGGTAATCAGATCACAGCCTACTGTAGACATTATTGAATCGCTGGCTGGGACAATCATCTGCACATGCGTACGTACAACGTCAGGTTTGTGCTAAATTAAAGTGAGTCCATAGCGAGAAACATTTTCAGTAACGCTCCGAAAGCTTCTCTGGGTAGTTAAGCCGAAATCATGCAAAAGTCAGTCTTAGTTGCCTCCAAATATGCATTTATTTCGAACAACAATCTTCCACTCGAAATTAGGCTGTCTTTTACATTTCCCATTTTCAAAGGCAAATTACATAAACATTTAAATTTGGAGGAAATAAAGTCGTTACTGTCTGTCTCCTTTCCAAACACACAACTTGTAGATTGCGAAAAGGGTCCTCCTGGCATTTGAAGCTCTCCCCAGGATAGTAAAGTGGTCTCTAAATATGTTAACATTTTCCTCTGCAGAGTCAAGCATTACTTCCAAATGCGGCAAACTCTCCTCCGTTTTGCAACCTTGGCGGTGATCTTCGAGGTCGCTATTGATGGTATTCTTACGTTGTCGCCAACTTGTACGTGGACTCTGGAGTCTGGTGGGTCGCATCTCGGTGATGTTGCCTTGACTTCTACTGTCTCCTCCACGATGCGATCCTGTTGTCCCGGATGGCCCCTTCTTAACTCATCGCCGTGGTGCTATATTTTTTTCCCATGACAATAAGCGTCCCGAACCCTCAACAGCAGGATTCCATCTAACTGCATCCTATCATACCATGCTACCTATTAAGGCAGTTTTTTCTCCTACATTTTTTGCAGATTGGTGGCTCGCTGAACTCAGCCACTGATGTGGAAGTTTTTTTACTGCCCAGACTATTATTTTATAAGAGAGTTCGTTGTTAATCCGATCTAACTTACCATCTTACCACGCGTAACATACTACTAATTCCTGGTATCATACATTTGCTTACTCCTAGCTGTGATTACCAATTTTTCTTTTTACGATGGAACGAATTTTGTAATGAAAGGGCCCCTTGGGCCTTAAATATACAATTTATTATTATTATTATTAAAAAATATGTTTCCCCCATATTTAGGGTTGTGAGAATAAAGTGATGTCATCTCAGTTGCTCAGCTAGCCTGTTCAGCTAATTCCCATTCACGTTCAAATCTCAGCCCGTGATCGAGCAGCTTACCAAGTTTCGTGAGCAGGCCTCTTCATCCCACTTGCAGTCGGCTAGTGTAAGGCTCCTCCAACCAGCTTCATCAGAC